GGAGTTCCTGAAACAGCAAACAGCTCTGGAGAGGAGTGAGCCATAGCCGTATGTAAATGCCTACATGAATGGGGGTCTTCCCAACACCGTCCAGGCGATGTGCTTTGACATTACAGCCTCCAACACGGGAAGAATCAAAGGCGCATGCGTCATATTGGAGCAAATGTTAGGAAGATAATTGCTATACCTAGCTTGTCGTCACCATACCTTGGAAATTCTGTTAAGAAGCGTATTCGACACAAAAATGGAATCAACCACTGGACCTCCTCCAGACATTTTTAAGAGGTTCCTCACTGCGTGGCCCAAGATAGACAAAGGAAATTAGGACACAGGTATCAGTGACAATCTTATACAAAACCACCTAACTTCAGAAGAAATTGCAAATGTTACCGTTATATTCAAGACCAAATTAACTGAGAGCCACCCCAGAAATGACTACAAGGAGCTATTGAAGTTGTTTCTCGTATTTGTTGGATCACTAGACGACAGTGTTGTGGGTTTTAGAACTCCAGGAGCCATTTATCACACTAGGTGGATGGCAAAGACTATTAACTGCTTAAAAATGTTCATTTTTCGTCGAAAATTGATATTTGTTCAACATCAACAATGTCACATGTTTCATTAAGTGCTATGGCGTAGCAAGGTGCCTTTTGCAGAATTTCAAGAAGAGTGTTTTTAATGTCCGCAGCTAAAATTTCAGTCCTTCGTGTATTACTTCTCGCTGACAATGGAATACTTTGAATTGCAGAGGTAGTGCGCCCGACTCACGATCGAAGGCCGTGGGTTCGATTCCCGCCTCGACCAGATATTTTTCACGAGAAAATTTTTCTGGTTGAAGCTGGGATGATTCTGCAACCGTGTTAGAAATCACACGTTGAAAGGTAAGACCTCGTTAGTTCTTAGCTCGCACAAGTTTCTCAACTTCTGAGAGTTGTCGTTCGTATGGGGGCTTATGTGATATAATAATATAACTGAATTTTGTTTTATCTATACATATGAATATATATGTATACATATACATACACACACATATGTAGGTACATAGTGTTTCACTTAAAAAATTAAAANGCCAAGTTAAAAACCGGAGAGTAAATTAAATCGATTTGATCATTTAACAGGTTGCACCCGCAATGTTTATGCTTGTGAATTTCCATGGATTCTAAGTAATTGAATTTGCAACCTTTCCTTGCATAGTGCAGAATTTCCGTATCGTTTTTGGAAATTTCGGCCACATTGTCCCACTCCGGGCACTTAAGCTTATAAACTCCAGATTTTTCCAACTTGTCTGAAGAAACCTGCGATTTTTTCTGTTCTTTTTCCAAAATATGTTAGCGTTACCCATTTCTTGATTTCTGGTTGTTTGACCTGAGGGTATATTAATCTGTAAGTGAATTTCCGGTTTTGTTGCCTGACTAACTTCTGGATAGTATCTGCGTTGAAACCATTATTATGACCTATCTGTGTGATTATATCAATTTATCTAGCTAGATTGTCTGCAGACAAAGGCAGTGAGAATGCTCTGTGCAACATTAAATTGTAGGCTGCTAATTTATGACTGTTTGGATGGAAAGAATCGCTTGGGATGGTGATGTTTGTATAGCTAGGTTTTCTGAAAACATTGAACTCAAATTTATTGTGTAATCTGTAATGGCCAGGTCTAAGAAATTTATCTGTTTCTCTATTTTTGTTTCGAGTGTGAACTGGGGTGTGAACTACAGGGGTGGTATATAATGGCGAATGTAATGAATCATTGTTAGTTTATTGTATAAGTTTGAAAATGTCCATATAGGACGACACTGCAGTAATGTTAGTTACAAATGAAAATGGTAAAATACATAGAAAATTTCCATTTCTTTTTTCATTATGATTTCCTACCACGTAGTAACGGCTACATCCATCAATTTATTATTTGTTTCGATCCAGTTTCCCCTATGGTGTACGATAGTTGTGTCATCAGCAAAACTTATTATTTTTCCACATGAGTTTAAAGCGAACAATTGTTAATATACATGGAGAATAAAACTGGACCCAAGACCGTTCCCTGTGGAACTCCGTACTCAAAAATTTCTTTGAGGCTTTTTTCTGTATTTATTTTTACATATTAATTATGGTCTTTCAGGTAGCTGTTGAATTAGTCATATGCAGTAGCTCTTATTCCTATGTTCTGCAAAGTTTCCAACAACTGAGGATGACTAACTGTATCAAACGCCTTTGCTTGATCCAAAAACACACACAACGTGGGATTTTGTTTGCAGACGTTTTCATAGATTTCACTTGTTAATAAAGTAATAGCATCTTGAGTGGATTTTCCCTCTCTGAATCCGAATTGCATGTTGGATAAAGGGCCGTCCTCACTGTGCCGCGGTTGGCTGTTGGCAAAGCCAACGCGGCAAAGCCGATTTTGGCTTGCCGTCTACACCTGAGTTGGCATTCGGTCGCAAAATGTCTGCCGAGGAGGATGTACTAGTTGCTTTAGCTGCGTTTATAAATATCATTGAAAACAGCGAAAAGGTGTGTAAACGGCGCAAACGACGGTTTTGGGTACGTCCAAGCCTTCAAAGTGAAAGAAAATACGGAACTAGTGAGTTAATGAAGGATTTGTTATTGGATGATGCAGACGAATTAAATCTCGAGTACAGATCTGGAAGTAGTGGCTTTGAAGGTCTTCTAAATAAGATAGCTCATATCATCCAGAAACGTGACACATCCTTCAGAAGTGCTATTCCTCCACATGAACGCCTTGCAGTTACTCTGCGGTTTTTAGCAGCGGGAGACTCTTACCACTCGTTAAGTTACACATTCAAGATTTCAAANAACTCCAAATCAGTGTACAATCCCCCAGGAACATTCGACTCTGAGTGCTCAACCACAGGTGAGATCAATCCAGGAACAAGCCCTTAGAAATGAATTTGCAGACTTTTTTACTTCCCCGGCTGGAATAGTATCCTTCCAACACGACAAATAATAAGCCCTTAACTATGTCATGTGTGTTGTATATTAATGTAAAATATGATTACTAATTATTCTATGAATTTACTGTGTTAATATATATTTACCTGCGTGATTGTGTCCGTCGTTTCATTAGGTGTATTACGATCCTTGAGAAATAGCATGTTGTTGAAGCAGAACCATTTATTCTTGTACACATCAAAATTTCCGGCACCAGATTTATTTGAGTCTTTCTCCCTCTTTACTTCACGTAAAAAATGACACACTAGGTTCTTGATTTTCCTTTCCACAATTTCTTTATCAACACCACAAGTATCTGCGATTTCTTGTAGAGCATCTTGTTTCTTATTTCTATCTTTGTACACTTTCAAACGACAGTCCCACAGAACAGGACGATCACGGTCAAGCCCAATAAGTTCACACACTTTCGCGTTGGTCCACTCCATGACTGAATACAGCGCTGTCTCATCCACATCTGAACCACGTGCGTGCCGCGTGAAGCGAACGGTTGGCTCGTCCTCACTACCGGCTCTCGCTGGCTTCCTTTGATGGAGACCGACACTAGAGCGATTTTCGTTGGCAAACCATTGGCTCAGCACATGCCAACGGCCACGTCTACATTGTATTGGCTTTGCCAAATTGGTAGTGCCGACAGCCAACCGCGGCACAGTGAGAACGCCGCTTTAGATGTTGTGCATTTCCAAGTACCCCTTTAGTCTAGCTTTCAATGATATTTTTTCAAAGCTTTTCGCTAAATTTGGAATAAGTGAAATGGGCCGATAACTCGATATATTTTTTTATCTCCGTTCTTAAATATAGGTGTAATTATTGATGTTTTAAACTGCGTGGGGGGGGGGTGCCGCTTTCGAACATTTCATTAATTATGTGTGCCAGTGGTTTTTTCAATCGATGTTTTACTGGTTTTAAAGTCTTAGCTCTCAGTCCATCTATCCCAGGAGCTTTGTTACTTGCCAATGTATCAATAACTTTTCCAAATTCTTGATCGTCTGACGGAAAAAGGAATATGGATTTTTATAACTATAGATAAGGATTATTATCCAATTGAAACCAGAAATACACAAAAGTATGTTACACCAATTATGAACAAATACATCGGACGAGGGGAGATACATGAATTAATTGACAATCCTTGATTGGAAATTAACTGNATATTTTAAGGTTATTTTTTTCAATTTTCCAAGTGTGCGTTTTATCGTTTTTATATCTATTATAATATTATTTTAAAAGACATTTGAAAACATTTTATTGAAATTGAAGTTTGTAATATATTTTGTTAACTTTTATTTATCTATTGGCCTCTGAAATGGCATCCACATGTACAAAGCAGGACCAAGGATAAAATATTTCTTGTGGGCTATCCCATTTCACCAGATCACCGGTTGTACACTATCCTCAAATCGTCAAGTTTTGTATGCTTAATTTATAATTTACTTACTGTGAAAGTAACTGTAAGAGAAGCAGCATAATTTGCCATATGAGAAGTGTTAATTTTTTGGGAGAAAGCTCGAATCCCGACTAAACATGAACAAGATGCAATTACTAAGTTGGAAAAACTTCACGCCGAGTGGAGAACTCTTCAAAAAGATCGGAAGCGGTTAAGAACAAATTTAAACAGATTTTTGAAAAGTTGTATGATCTCTTTGATATTGCTCAACAAGATGCCTTGGCTCTGATGAAATCGGAAGGCGTTTCTCGTGAAACAGAGACAGAAGGGCCGCCCAGGTTTCATGACCGGAGTGGATCTCAAGTGGTCTCAAGCTGTAGAAATCAAGGCACAAAAGGAACTTGCAAAAATGAACCGACAAATCCATGAGGAAACTTTTAATATTGGTAAGAAATAGAATGGAGTGNAAGATCTATCTATCTATTTGTATGTTCTATTGAGCAAACCAGTATCATTTCCCATAGCATGAAACAAGCCCATTAAATTGTTGGGTACATCGTACCATAACAAAATAATTACAATAAAAAATAAACTGATCATAATCAAACTTGGCGACCATTATTTAATGTTTTTCTATCTGCAGGTTTTTAGTCTACCGTGTTAACCTTGCCTAGCCTGCTTGATCTAACTTGTTGAGGCCTTCTATTCAGTGCCAGTGGCGTCATAGCCTATGTAAGCGTTATTTTATTTCATTGTTGGGCTAGGAATAACTGGTTTGTGTATATTTTCTTCAAAATATTGTGACGAGATTCGTGTGGTCCTGCGTATATGGTTGTTGTATTATTTCAATTTAAACCAGTTAAATTGATATTCTATAAACAAATAGAAAACAAGATAAAGGATAATCTCAAATGCAAACCTTTCTTGATGTACTAATGTTCCTGTGGTATTTATTTTCAGTTGTATGCTGTCTCATGATACCAGGTTGCGCTGTGATTTAGTTGATCTTTACTATAGTCTTTATGGTACAAAACGCCCAGTGTGTATTCCTGTAGCACAGTTATCTGGAATTATGACTTCTAATAAACAGGACATTACCAAAATCAAAAAGATTCCTACGATACCAAAAATGCTAACAACCACAAGTGCTGAGGCTAAGAAAATCATATCTCCTGCTTCTACATCTAAAGATGGAGCACCTCAAGTAATAATGGAAGCAGTGGAATGCATGAACGTAGAAGTAGTTGCCAGTGAGGAGAAAATTGAAAAGGTTGGTGTCTCATTCAGATTTTTTTAAAAACATTTTATATAAAATTACCGAGTTGATCAAATCTATTAAGGTTACTGAAAAGTTAAATCACAACATCTGATGTAGAATGAACCCATTCGAAATACTTCCATCATATCTCACATCAGAACTGTTGAACTGTTCTCGACCCGTTACTCACCAATCATAATGGTGTCATCAAGAGATAATTAAAAAAAATAGTATTTAGTAAAGTTAGTTTAATCTTATTGGTAAACTGTTTTTTTGTTTATAATATTCTTTATGTGAATAATTCAGTTCTCTGAAACATTTACCAAGGAATTTGAAAAATGAAGTTTGAAATCATTATACCGATTTTCTTAGGACTAATAATTTTGAAAATTTAATTGGTAAAATTTCGATTACTCACTAAAATTTTATCTACTTAGTAGGCAGATAGGTAAAAACAAACAGTTGGTAGTATTCTGTATTTGTTTAGGGTTCTCGAGTAGTGTCATTAATTTTAGGGGATGATTCCTTCTGTCACTTCATAAAGAAAAGTTTTTTGAAAATATGTTCAGAACTCTGTTTCGGAAATGTACCTTTTTTATGATCTTATGACAGTACTGAAAAAAAAAATCATTCTTGCCAAAGATTATGGCAATTTTATAATGATATATGCTATCGATACAATCAGTGGTGAATAAATGGGGGTTAGGGATCATGGAATTTCAAATATTCCTGTAGAGGATTAACTTTTTCAATGATATTTAGAATTCAAATAATTTATTCAGTCAAAAAATATTACGTTCATCTGAGAATTAAGGTATATTATAATTAAATATATTGGATGTCATACTAGGACCAAAACTTTACGAACTTGCAAGTCCTTCGGCTGCGGTCTTGTGGGTATATTCGGTTGAAATCGGTAGGTCCTAAAAGGGTTAATGAATGAATTTTCTGATAAGAACATACTATACAAATTGAAAATATAATTCCTCTTCAAGTTATGACTTCTCTAATATTCATTATAGGAAGCCGAGATAATGGAGGTCAAAGCTGAATCACCAATTCTTCAAAAGCAAGAATACTTCTCCGATAATTCCGTTTCTTTGCCTGGAATGGGCCAAAGCGGGCCAGTTGGATTCGAGCCAGGAATGTTTCAGAAAGATGGCGAGGCTAGGCATAAAAGTGATTCTCCTGGTAGGGTGAAGAAAAAGAAAAAAGACAAGAAAAAGCACAAACACAAACATAAGCACAAACACGAACACAAACACAATAAAGACAAAGAGAGGAAGGACAAAGATCCCAACAGAATTACAAAATTGAAAGAAGAAACACTGAGCTCAACTAGTTCAACGCCTAGTCCAAATCCATTATCTTTAGGTGGTGCAGAAACTATTTGAGATTTGCTTGTTTGGATATATGGATGTTAATTTTTTTATCAAATAAAGACTTTTAAAATTCTTTGAAAATTAATGAAATCGAATTACTTATAAAAGTAACCAAACTTGTTTACTTTCTGGCTCATACGCNTATTGCTATATTTTCATTATTAAATGAAAAAAGTATGAAAATGAGTGGTATACTTATTGATCAATTTGTTTATTCAAAAACTTCTTTATCTAACTGGCAACTGACATGAATAATTTATAACTTATATAAGTCTTCAAGAAGTGAACATTTTTCAAACCAAGAACTTTTATAACAAACTGTCCAAAACTGTCACTTATTTTAGCAGATTTCTCCCTTACGTACCAATTTCGAAATATCTTTCTAACTCTTTGAAATCAAAACCATACCACAGACGAAGGTAGTCAATCTTGGCTCATTATCTTTATTCAGGGACCATGATTTCGGAACTCAATAATCACTCTCATGCCCTCTTTCATTATTGAAGCGTACAGACACAGCCTATCTGGTGAACCTAGCCTACAGTGTAGGAGAGAACCTGAGCATCATTTCTGAAACAAACATATATTCAATAAAAATGTGTGAAAACACTGTAAATAAAAATAATTTTATCAGGGCCGCATAATTTATCAACATAAATATTGGTTGTTGACAAATTAAGTGAATGACTGAATGATTTATGAAGAACACTTATAGGAACATCTATATTTTATATAGTAAATACTATATAATCATGTTTAATGATACAATAACGACGTAAGTTTCGACATTTTTGCCATCTTCAGGTTCTAAAATATACAAAGAAAGAAATGTACAATGAGTAACTTCACTTACAATGAATATTTGAAATTTTCAGTGATAACACTACACTATCGGAGTCAATTTAGGAATAAAATTCTCAAAATCGAGTTATTGTACAGATACATGGAAACATGGAAAACATATGAAGAGATTTGAAAGGAAAGATGTAATACAAAGTTTTTGCATCTCACATTTTGAAGCTCTTTATATATTTAATCTGTTTTTTCATTTTATTTTTATCGTCTGTGTACGATAACTCAATTTAAAAAATTTTATTCCTACACTGACTGTGACAGCGAAGTGTTATCAGTTAAAATTCAAAATATTTATTGCAACTGAAGTTGCTCATTGTACTTTTCTGTGTTTGTAATTCATTATTATTTAAATCTACTTAATGAGGAAAAACGGTCAGGATACTTTATCATCATAAAACAGTAACAATACATTTATTGGATTTTTAAAAATATAATTTCTCACTGCTGTATCATGGAGAAGAAGATCAAGCTACGGCCAATAGAAGAAATTTTCTGTCCTATATAAGCGGTGTGACGGACTGAATTGAAAGGATCCTCGAAACTATGGAGTCAGGGCCATTTTCGAGCACACGAGAACCATAGAGAAATAGTCTCAGGTCAGTCAAAAATTCCAGGGATCCATTAAGTACCCCAGGATTATACCGAATTACGTGCAGTTGTGATTCGTTTTACATCAGCACCACGAAAAGAGGCGTTAAAACTAGCTTGACTGAGCATTAAAGAAGTTGCTGCTATGGTCAAACAGATGAATTCTCTCAGAGGACAGCCATGACATTGCCTTCGAAACCATGCAAGTTTTTGATAAAACCAGAAGGTACTATCCGAGGCTATTCAGAGAGGCCATATAAATACATTGACATAAGAATAATTTCAATCATAAGGAATAGAGCTTAAACATCAACAAGACATTGATACCGGCACTTCATAACACAAAGATTCTTCAAATAATTACAGAAGGGTCGGACCAATCAGATACAGAAGCAGACTAAACATCAGATAGAAACCTACAGACCACCGCTAATAAACCCGGAAACATCGGACAATACATTTATTTTATTCGCCACACAATTACAATTTTTAATTGACACTCTGTTATTAAAATATTTTTTGTTTTTACAGTTTCAAGCTACACTTCATGAGAAATTATAAAACTGCATTTGCATTATTATTACACTGAAAAATGTCTTTCAACTTTTCNTTGATTGATTTATTCATTTAAGTAGGACAATCCTAATTTACAAAAAATAAAATAGTTAACATACTTATTTTACACTAAATATAACTTATAATAAATGTAAGTATAAAGATATATAATAAATTTGAGTATAAATATACATATACACACATATATACACATATACATATATACAAGTTAAATACAGTATAGAATAATGGTGGAATATTTTTTTTTCAATTATAATACAAAATCATATTCTGTTTGAATTCTGGTATACTTCTCGACTCTTTAACATATTGTGATAAACTATTGTACTGACTGAATCCTTTAAAAAATAAACTTTTTACACTATATGAGGTACTCTGCCTGTTTACATAAAAATGATTCTGGCCTCTAGTATTGTATGTGTGGATTTGGTTTACAGTTATAATAAACTTACCCATGTAAGTTGGAGTCAGTTCATGTATCATTTTATAGATATAGATCATAGTTAAGTACGTCAGTCTTCGCTCCACAGTAAATAACTGTAAAGTTTCCAGCATCAATGATATAGGAGTTGACCTACCACATGAGTGCTTTGATCTAAAGCCAGACTGATTAGTGAATAGCAAATTATTTGAGTTAATATATTCTAATAACTGTTGATAAAGTACTGTCTCCAATAGCTTTTCTTCAAATGGCAAAGAATTAATTGGTCTAAACTCACCACTTTTACTAGTATTTGCAACCTTTTCGATAGGTGTAACAGTGCTGGTTTTCAATTCCTCGGGAAATGTGGCATTTTCCAATGATACATTCACAAAGTGGCACCACACATGACCAATAACACATGTATGGCTTTATAATAAAGCGCGTGGTTTACTGGGTTAAAACTGAATTATTTCAAATGAACTAATTCATAAGAATGATAAATGTTAATTTTAAAAGTAATGAACTTTGCTTCATATAATCAGATGAAGAAGTTTGTGATTTATTCTCAGATTTGATGAACAAGCGGTACGGTTTGTGAGGTCCGATATAAATAATTTTTGATTAGAAATCATGAATATTTATAATTACGATTGAGGTTTGATATTATTGTGTGATTTCATTCAAAATTGGTATCTAAGGGTCTTTGTGGACCGACATTATGTTTTTTTTTCAATAATTCATGCTGACGAATTCTATAATTACGAAAAATCATTAATGAAAATGAAAAAAACTGTATTCAAAAATGAAAAATATGTTTTTTATATGTGTGCCATAAGTCATATCCATTCTGTGATCAACAGATCAAAAAGCTTTCTGCTCAATGTTCAGATTGTATACTAAATAGTAATTCTTGTGCAACCGGTGTTGAATCTGTTATTGCTCACTCAACAACTATCTTACGTCACACAAAGAATATGATTTCTGTTTTGGTTTTATTTTCTTTGCATGAGGCTCTCGCGTTGCATACAGAAAATATTCAATAAGAAATGACGGTTGTCGTTTTTTAAACATTTTTTTGGTTGGGATATGTCAAATAATAAAATAATATAAACCTAGTTTCAAAAACTTCATTTATCAGAATAAGATCAATAAAATGATCATTAAAAACATCAAAAATATCCCCTTTCATAATGTCGGTCCATAAAGACCCCTAGATACCAATTTTAAATGAAATCATGATTTCTAATCGAAAATTCTTCATATCNAATTGAATCAAGTATTTTATCGTTTCTAATGTTTCTAACCTACAGACAGATCTTCAGGTCCAGAAACTTCTGGACCAAGGCTAAGAAACCCGAAAACACTTTTTCTTACCAGAATAAAAATATTGTGATAGAAAGGTTTTGGCTTTCTACTTTTCCACCTTTCGACGAAAAAATGTTGTATAAAGATGTGTATAGAGACGCCTGTTTTGCTAAACAAGATGACTAAGACCAAATGTTAATGTTTTAATAAGCATTTAGACGACTCATAACCTCACATAATGAGAGTTATTAAATTGAATCTAGTATTTTATCGTTTCTAATGTTTCTAACCTACAGATAGATCTTCAGGTCCAGAAACTTCTGGACCAAGGCTAAGAAACCCGAAAACACTTTTTCTTACCAGAATAAAAATATTGTGATAGAAAGGTTTTGGCTTTCTACTTCTCCACCTTTCGACGAAAAAATGTTGTATAAAGATGTGTATAGAGACGCCTGTTTTGCTAAACAAGATGACTAAGACCAAATGTTAATGTTTTAATAAGCATCTAGACGACTCATAACCTCACATAATGAGAGTTATTAAATTGAATCTTAGTATTTTATCGTTTCTAATGTTGATTACTATTTGATTGATACCCAATTTTTACCTATTTTTCTGTGTGTGGGAAAAATATTTTCAATCGATTCATTTTATGCCAGAGGTTCCATATTCTATATATTAAATCATATGATACTCTTAGCATTGTTATTCTAGTATAAAGTTCCATCAAAACATTCAATATCTTTCTAATTTGAAAAATCATTTATGAAGATTAATTAGGCACAAAATTCGAGTTTTTTATCAGATGAATATAAAAACAAAACAATATGTTTTCAATGTTTTAGGTAGCAAATGCAATGGTGGCAAATTGGGCTGGTCCTCCCGCTATGCTTGCTATTTTTCGTAAGTTTTTCGGTTCATTTGCTGCACCACACATTATCCGCCAGAACAACTTCCAAAATTTCCAGCATTACTTTCTTCAAAAAACTATTCCCTTAGCTATGGCAGGACTTAGAAATACCCATGGGATTTGCCCCCCAGAAGTGATCCGTTTCCTATTAGATTTGTTCAAATACAATGACAATTCTAAAAATCGACATTCCGACAATTATTATAGAGCAGCATTAGTGGAAGCATTGGGTTGCACTATAACCCCAGTTGTGTCAGTTTTGGCTCAAGGAACTCCTATAACAGCAGAGAGCTTGAGTGCTGATACAAAGTTGATATTGGAGGAAGTTACTAGACTGCTGAATTTAGAGAAAGCATTACCGTGCTACAAGTATACCGTTTCCGTAGAATGTTTAAAAGTTATAAGAAAATTGCAGAAATTTGGCCATTTGCCAAGCCGACCTACCTTGTTTAAGAGTTATGCTGCATATGGAAATTTCATTGGTGAGTAATTTGTTGGTTTTTAAGAACAATACTTGCATTTGGTTTTTGTTTGAAATTTTTCTCCTATAAAATTAGTTGAAAAGAAGTAATGTATTTTCACCACATTCACAAGGATGGAAAACTAGAAGTTTACTCTACTTCTTGTGCCATAGCCTTAGCACCATATTCATTTGAGCTACCGTGACCAAGTCCCTGACCAGGCGAGGATACAATTAAAAACCAGCAAAATCATGATGTGAATAGTCATAAACTATACTGAATTTGATATTAGTGTCTGGTAACTACTTTCGTACGTAATAATAATAATATATTTATTCATACCAAGAAACAACAGTTTATATGAAGGGATAATAAATACATGGCAAGGAGACATTTGTAATTACGATTACTAATTTGAGAAGGAAACTAGAAAATATAATTTTTTTTCTTATTGCTCTAATCTAATCTTTGGTTTTATGGAGTTTACTTGAAACTTAGAGACTGAAGTCACTCTTATCTTCGACATAAAAATTATCTTCTATTCAAGGCGTTTTAAAATTTGAGATTGGTTATTATATAATTTTATAACATTTTTCAGATGTTAGGTTAGCAGCATTGGAATGTTTAGTAGATTTTGTTAGAGCTGATGGTAAATGGGAAGATCTTCAACATGTTCTTGATATCTTGGAGAATGATCCAGATCCTGGTTTGAAGCATAAATTGGCTACTTTATTAATAAAGAATCCGCCGTTCAAAAGAGCTCATCGGGGAAAGCTTGATATTCCTGAACTTGTAGAAAGGATATGGACTAATATAAAGTAAGTTAATTTCATTCATTTCTATTGTCTCTGAGTTTATTCTAATTTATGTTGAGAAATAATTGAAATATCAGCTTCAATATTTTTTCTATAACTATTGAAAAAGGCGTCAATTATGTGACCGACTAGTGGTAAAAGTTTATTGATGTTATTTTTCCAACCAACAATCATATACTGAAGGCTTAGATGTTAAAGACCAAAATTATTACGAAATTACATAATTATTTTTATGTGCCTGGAAGTAACATTGAATTCATATTTGAAACTTTTACTGACAGCTATACAAGGGTTGCCTTTTATATTTCGGGATTAGTGGCTCATACGCATAAATCCACGATTCATCACCTGTCACGATGTCACAGACGTGTTTCGAAGCACCGCGGTCGTATTTTTTGAGCATTTCCTTCGACCAATCGACACGAGCCTTTTTTTGAACGATTGACAAATTGTGTGGCATCCAACGCAAACAAATTTTTTTGACAGTCAAATGTTTATGCATTATTGAATGTATGCTAGTCCCACTAATGCCTAAGGTTGTCTCAATCTCACGATAGGTCACATGACGATCTTGCAATATCAGTTCGCGCACAGCATCAATGGTTTTCGGAACAACAACTGATTTTGGACGACCTTCACGAAATTCGTCTTGGAGTGAACTACGACCACGATTGAATTCACCATACCATCGATTCGATAAACACTAATGCTTGATGGAGTTTCATCGTCAAAAATTGAATTAAGTTCATCCATGCACTGTTGCTGAGTTAATCCACGTCGAAAATTGTAAAAAATAATCGCACGAAAATGTTCACGATTCAATTCCATTTTTGGGCCGAGGTGAATCTTTTAAGTTACTGTAAACAACGCGCGTGTATGTCAAAACGTTCTGAGTACGTATAAGTTCAAAAATGTCCAACTTCACGATATAGCTGTCAGTTGCCAGATTGCAACACTAGGGTTGCCAAATCCCGAAACATGAAAGGCCACCCTCGTACAGACTCCAAGAACATGATTATAGAACAAACAATTATCCCCCTCAAAAAACTCAGATCAGGTAAATCTGATCCGTTATTGGACTTTTAGAGACTTAAAGATAAAACTACTGAAAAAACTAACCTTTTTCACTTCATGAAGACAGTACACTCCAGACATTGTTACATTTATTGCTATATTTTCATTATTAAATGAAAAAAGTATGAAAATGAGTGGTATACTTATTGATCAATTTGTTTATTCAAAAACTTCTTTATCTAACTGGCAACTGATATAAATAATTTATAACTTAAGATATAAGTCTTCAAGAAGTGAACATTTTTCAAACCAAGAACTTTTATAACAAACTATCCAAAACTGTCACTTACTTTAGCTGATTTCTCCCTTACGTACCAATTTCGAAATATCTTTCTAACTCTTTGAAATCAAAACCATACCACAGACGAAGGTAGTCAATCTTGGCTCATTATCTTTATTCAGGGACCATGATTTCGGAACTCAATAATCACTCTCATGCCCTCTTTCATTATTGAAGCGTACAGACACAGCCTATCTGGTGAACCTAGCCTACAGTGTAGGAGAGAACCTGAGCATCATTTCTGAAACAAACATATATTCAATAAAAATGTGTGAAAACACTGTAAATAAAAGTAATTTTATCAGGGCCGCATAATTTATCAACATAAATATTGGTTGTTGACAAATTAAGTGAATGACTGAATGATTTATGAAGAACACTTATAGGAACATCTATATTTTATATAGTAAATACTATACAATCATGTTTAATGATACCATAACGACGTACGTTTCGACATTTTTGCCATCTTCAGGTCCTAAAATATACAAAGAAAGAAATGTACAATGAGTAACTTCACTTACAATGAATATTTGAAATTTTCAGTGATAACACTACACTATCGGAGTCAATTTAGGAATAAAATTCTCAAAATCGAGTTATTGTACAGATACATGGAAACATGGAAAACATATGAAGAGATTTGAAAGGAAAGATGTAATACAAAGTTTTTGCATCTCACA